GTCGTTATAACCAAGGTTGCCTTTATTGGCACTCCGTTTTCCTGTTTTCAAAATTGATGCTATATAACGTTACAACTCCAATTTACATTGGTCACACTACACTAGCTTCAGTTTCATGATTGACCCACTTTTCGTGATGTTCGCACTAATTTGGACCTTGGACCACTTTATATTTTAGCAAGGCTTCGTAGATGTCATTTCCACAGACCCAGGAAGTTTCTTGTTTTATGACATGTTCTCGTAGGCACGGATGAAGCTGTCACGATTTTCCCAAATTGTGGAAACAGATGAACAGATGTCCATGTTCGCGAGCGACGTTAGCTTCACTTCGAGCTCTTTCTATTAAACTAATCAAGCACACTTTCCTTCCAATCGTGAAGGCTTGCCTCTTTCTTTTTCCATTGGCCACGTTGTCAACGAGAAATGCAAAGGGCGACTGAAGGTGATCTTAGTTACTGGGGATTATCCTTCCCTAACATTGCTCCAGCCACACCCACATGACTCTCAAGGAATGCCGAATCTAGGAAATATAAAGTTATGGCTCGCCAACGCTAATTTTTCCGATGACGGAAATTTCAGTTAAGAATGACCGATTAGGGACATAAACGTTGTCGATTTCGTCTGTGAGACCTTCAATGGACTTCGTTATAACCGAGGTTTCGTTATAACCGAGTTCGACTGTATTATAACCCCCAAGTAGGAGAGGTTAGTACGGAGCTTAGCCCCCCCCCCCCCCCTGCTCGAAGCGCAACAATTTTGGAAGAAAACTTATATGAAGCACCTTTTCAAAGTCAATCTTTTTTTCAAAATGTATTTATTGACCTGTTTTGAACTGCACAAATTCCAATTCAGAACTGTGCATATCTGTTACAACTACACATTAAAGTATGCCTTGGTTTCGCTGGAAACGAAATTTCCAATGTAGGCAGTCTCTATTGAACAAAAAGGAACTAGAGACGGAACCTTTCCCTGACCTAAAGCCATCAAGTTCGCCTGCCTGCGTTTAACCTGTATTTCTCCTTGTGCGAGTCCATGAAGAAAATAAGAATCTTTACATTCCGAAATGTTGCTTGGAGAACCACACCATGACATCGAGGATGAGGAAGAATTCGGTTTCCATAGGCAAGTATCCTAGCCTGCCCTGTTTTGCGCCGAGCGCCTCAGAGTCCTGCGTCCCCACAGACTCGGTAGAGGAGAAACATGGCGGCGTCTTCATCTGCTCCTCAACCAGCAGGGAATTGGGACATTTCTCCCCAAGAGAGAGACGTGATCCAGAGACGAGCTGATCTAAGGAAGAAACTCAAGTATGAATATCAAAAGCAGATTCTCAATCCCTATCGACATGCCACAGGGGAAGGGGGCTTCGTGGTGAGTCAGTGATTGAGCCTATACTTCTCTTGCGAGACTACCACAAAGTAATTTTTAATTCACACGAGCCCGACCAGTCTGTTGTCGTATCATGTATGAACGTAGGAGTTGAATGAAAAAATTGCGGAACGCAACTAAGGAAAACTATTTTAGGCAAGGGCCGCATTGACTATCGGTCATCTAAAAAGTCCAAGTTGATGGAAACAAGAAAATTAAGCTATATGTAGGGCAAGGCCCCTCCCCTCTTGCTTTTTCGGGGCACTGCTTCCATGAGTCTCTTTTGTATATTATGTCCAACCATTGGGCTTCCCAACTGTTCAAAGCTTAGTTGAAATGAATGAAAAAAAAAAGCAAGAGTGCATGTGAGGATTAGACTTTTAACAATTGATGTCTGAGATGTAAATCATTTGATTGCCAGCCCTCACTCTGTAACCCTTTCTGCAATAATACAGCCTATGGCAAACTAAGTTCGACATAAGAATGGAAGGGGTTAAGGAGGGGCAAGCAGTAGGGATATGAAGAGAATAGTGTGAGGGCTGATCGGAAAGTAAAGTAAGTCTGAGTTTAGAGCTGTGTTTATTCAAGTGACCTGTAACTTGGGTACATTGGTAGTGTGAGTGTACTACTACTTCATGACAGTCACCGTGGAGATTCAGATGTGTCCCATCAGTGCAACAGTTTGTCAATGCCAGCAGCATAAAAGGCAGAGTCCTGTCCTCATCTGTTTCAATTTACTCATCAGAGGCAAAGTGGCATCCATGTGGGTGTTTTTTCAATGGGCCAAACAGATGGAAATTACTTGGCACCAGGTCAGGACTGTACCACAGGTGTTCAAGGACCTCTCGGTGAAACCTCTGCAACAGCTTCTGTGTATGACATGCGTTGGCCATCTCCAAACCTGTTGCACCTTTCAACCACAATCTTCAGCACCATCACATTGTCTCTGTACATTTCTGTCAGCTATCGATGGATTTCAGCCAGTGAAACATTTTTCACCCTTAGGAAATGGATAACAGAATGCATTTCTTTGCCAGACCACATGTCTAAGCATTTTGCCATTTTGACACTCCACTCCTGACCTGTGCACAGGTGACAGTAGACTTTACAGTTTTGCAAAATAGTGAATGTTTGAATGTCTCTACTATGCTAGAAGTGATTCCCCTGCCATCATTTTGGTTTCACAGGCCAACTTCACTTTCCGATCAGCACTCATAGCAATGTTGCCCTGGTTATAGCCACAATCAGTCAAAAACTAACAAGGCAGCATTGCAGAGAATTTGCTGGTCCATAAGAGGTGGACTAGCCTTAAAAACAAAAAATAGGGATACACCTAACATTAGAGAGATTATGATGCCGTTGAATGACATTTGTTTTGCTCTGTGAACGAAAAGAATGTTTCCCCTAGCTTCAAAAATGGTGAATTCGAGGATTATGAAGTTAACAGACCCTATCCCACCTTCATTGCTTTCAGATTTTCAAGTCGTTCATGTGTGACACAGCAAAGGCCTACTGTAATGATTATGTCCCTTGATTGCAGTTTGATCCAGCCTTACAGAGGTTCATGGCAATGAAGGCAACATTGTTTGACCACTTTCGTCCAAATGTGAGAAATGCTGTATTTGCCATGTCTTGGGTCATCCTCCCCATAATTGGCACCTCATACCTGTTCTATACCACCAGAGTTAGTTCATTTTCTTCTCATATTCACATGCCTAGTCCCAAAACCAGGCACTTCCTTCATTTTTCTTTTTTTTCATGCAGGCCAAGAAGGAGCATGCAATGCGGACAGGACAGGTTGCTTACAAAGATCGCTGGTTCAAGTATGTGTAATGTAGGCCTGCTTCTTGGTGGGCCCAGTGATTAGTCTGCCATTTTTTAGGCCTGATATTTGTTCATAGAGAGATGTCTGTTGATTGCATTATGAATACTGAGTGACTGGTCAAGTATAAAGTTGGATCATTGAGTGGCAACCACATGTGAACTGTGACACATATCATTTTATTAATACAATCAGACCATTAACAGGGAAAAGTGAAAAGAGAGAATTTTATCACAAAACACCAAAAGCAATTCTTGGTCTAATCATCAGTAAGGTTGACCATATCCTTGCTGCCCATGATGGGAGGTGACAGGGTAACCCATCATAGATGGATTATGTCCCATTGGGCCAGAATTATTAGGACCTCCAGGTCCAATGTGATTGTGGGGATTGTGGTGATGTCCATGATGATAGTCTCCTGCAGGAGGAGCAAATCGGGGCCTTTTTGCATTTGGTCCTGCACTATGCTGACTGTTGGGATCATTGGGTCCACTGTGTGGTGGTCCTCCTATGTTTCCACCAGTGTTTGCAGATGCACTTTGAGCTGGAGCCTGCTGTCCAGCTGTTCCCTGAGTCTAAAAATTAGAGCCACAGTTCAATGATGATAGGTGCAATGAATAACAAGGATAATATGGGGTTTTTCAAGTACTTGCCTTAGATGCATCAGATTTATCTTCTTGCTCTTCGTCAGTCAGGAAGTCCCTTTTTGGATATGGGATTATACAACCAGCAAACACACTACAAATAGAATTTTTTTTTTTTTTTTACAGAGCAATAGGTCAGCTGCAACCAAGCATTGTAATTCATTTGCATCCAGTGATGTACTAGTGTGCCACTGGAGATGGATGGGTTGCTAAAGGTAACTTTTGAACCCATCTGTTCCCCCTGTCAAAATGGATTAAACAGTGAATGATGTGGCATCATCAGACATAAGTATCTGAAAATGCACATCTTTCCTCATTCATTGATATGCCTTAGAATTTGTTGATCTGACCCTTGAAGGAGATAAGGCACACCAACAAGGTACTCCAGCACGTTCGTTGCAACCAGAAGTGATTATCACAGATGAATTTTACATTAGGCTAGTGAGGATGATGAAACCTCGATAAACTAATTTCTAAAAAAAAATCAATTCTTTTTGTATGGATAAGTACTTGTCAAAATTTGGTTCTGGTAAGAAATCCTGAGTCCTGAAGAGCTACTGCATTCCTCAAGAGTTGCTGCCTGTTGCTCAATTCCTGGAGGATGCATTATTGGGTTGTTTTTTTTCTGAGAAAAATGTGATTCAAAGAAATTATCCAATTAGATGCATTTGCTCCACAACAGGAACATCAAATAACATACCTATTGGAAGTTAAACTTTTGTATGGTACAAATGCAGAACATGATGAAACACCTTATTAGTTTGCTTAAACCAAAAAAATGAATCAGAGCAATTATTTCTCAGTCACACCAAAATGAGAAAGGAAGTAATACCATTTCAAGGTCTATAGATGGTCAGTGTACCCATACAAAAATGGTTATCTTGGATTCAATAATGATAATTTGCCCAAATAGTCTCTTCATATAGTTTCAGAGATATAAAATGCTGATCATCCAGTTATGTGATAAACTGATTCACATAAATTCCTGGTCCCATACCTTTTGATCTTGACATCCTAACAAGGTCAATTATTTACTACAAGAATCAGTGTAGAGTTAAAAAAATGCAAAATTTAGAAATGACCTAAGTATTTCCCTAAATAGTGCTGCACTATGCACCACATGAGGAATGAAATTAATCAAAGTGTGAAGCAAAAGTGAGAATTTTAACTCACTCATCAGTTGGAAAGGGCTCCTCCTTGAAGTAAGAGTCCTGCATAGCTTGCTCTGATGTGATCCGCTTGTTTGGATCCATCATTAGAAGCTTCTGGAGCTGCATTAAGAATTTTGCAGTTTATCAATTAGAGACTGATGGACAGGAGACTTGAAAGTACTATTGGTTATTTAAAAAACTGACCAGATGAAATGCTCTGCTATCTGGCTTGATCTTGTGCCGATCCATATATTTCACAAGGGAGCAACTTTGATAGCTGATAAAAGATGTGAGGACATTTCAATGAATCAAAGGAGTGACCCCTAAAACTAAAAGACAGTGTACCTTGACTTCTTGAAGTCCTTCATAAGTGTGGGATGTTCAGGCATCTTTTTGATGTCTTCCCAGTCCCTCTCAATAGGAAAGCCCATCACTGAAAAGATACGGTCCAATTGGTCATGATGATAAGGGTTTGAAGTCTTGATGTCCTCTTGACGACAGTGAAAGATTGGTTCACTGGTTAGCAGTTCTGCAAAAATGCAACCAATGGCCCAGATATCTGAAGAAAAAAAAGAAATGTTTCAACACTGTCTTGATGTGCAAGTGGAAAAGAGAGAGAGGTAATGGCACCGATGGCTTTGGTGTAGTGTCGAGCACCAAGAAGTAACTCAGGAGCTCGATACCAGAAGGTCACTACTACAGGGTCTAGATCAGCCAGAGGCTTCAAAGGAGAATTGAAGAGGCGAGCAAATCCCATATCGGCTATCTTCACTCGTCCTCTCTCAGTTCCTTCTCCCATCACCAAAATGTTGGCTGGTTTCTGAATGCAAATGTGTAATTTAACAAATAAAATTTGCAAATTGTAATGCAATTTTAACGAACCTATGAGGAAGCTCACTTGAGCAATTAGGCCTATTCTCAACATAAACAGAAATATACTTCACTAAATAATAAAATATTGATGAAGATCTTGCAGTGAAGGAAGAGGGATTCATCCTGCCACTTTCCCTCCAACAAGAGCACCCATTTTGAGGCAACTTGTGTGAATTACACCAAGGAGTGCATTGAATTCTGAACTGGGTCATGGCACAGGACAAAAAAACACAGACACATAGTAATTGATGACCCAGAGTGACAACTGTATTTGCCTTGTCGATGAAAGACAAATTCAAGTGGTAATTGACTACAAGTCAAGGATCACTACAAAGTAAGCAGGCCCTTGTATTTGGGATATTGAAAATGGTCAGATTCCGGCATACTTCTAGATCTGTAACCACCATAATCCCGAGGCATTAGAGAAAATTGGAATCTAAATGGTTTTAAAGTATATTTCCTGATAACAGAAAAAAATTAACAAATAAAACCATCCATCACCAAAGTGCCAGAACTGACCAGATCACGATGGAGAACCCAGTTGGAATGAAGATAGTGAATCCCAGCCAAGATCTGGTACAGCAGGGATTTTACCATACCCTTGGGAACCATCACTGGCTTCTTGTTAGCCTTCTGGGCCCGATGGAATTTGATGATGTGCTGTGAAAGACATTGTTTCAATGAATCTGAATTTGAGTGAAACCCTTGGGATCCTGTATTCTGGTATTTTAAGACATACCCAGAGATCATGCTCAGCATAGTCAAACAGAAGCCACACTTTGCGGTCCACATGAGACAGGAAGACTCTCTGAAGATTAATCACATTCTGGTGCTTCAGCTCCCTAAGTAACTGGGGGGGCAGGGGAAAGAAATTCCCAAAAAGGGTAAATAATTTTCAGACAAAAATATGTATATTTCAAAACAATGACAAACTGCGATTTCTCTGCATGCAGACATGGACAAGCCTGTTCCCTCAATTTGTTTCAAAGCATACTCCTTTGGATCTGACCTGTAAAAAACATGATTGTTCTAATATAAAATATGGCAAAAACATAAAAGTAGGCAGAAAAAGTAGGAGAGCATACCCATCCTTTCTCTTTGCTTTGTACACATGACCATAGGTCCCTCGGCCTACCTTGCACCCCTCATAGTCAAAAAGATCCTCAACCTTAGCCCTCATAGAGGCTGTACGGCACTTGAAATCATAATCCATATTCCCTGAAGGGGAATAAATGTTTTTGGTTCAAAATGGGGACAGTGTATTACCTGACTGACAAAAAAAGAAAACCGTCAATTAATCCATGAAAGACTATGTACATGCAAAACACAGCCTGAGTCAAATGAATTCAAGCTCCTCATTGGAGAGCAGAACACTCCAACCTGTCTCACTCTGAGAAGGCTGAGAAATAATATTTCTTTTTCAACTCAAAAATGTTCAAATTTGTTTGAAAGAATGACTGTATTTAGAAAATTTGTATGAGCAGATGGATTCATCATCATGAGGGTAGTACAGCACCAGTCTTTTCTAGGATGCCACGCTTTGCATCAAAGAAATCCCGATACCATAGAATTGTGTCCTCCTTGTATTGGACTGTGATAAAGGGATTCTTGGAGAGGCCAACACAAACCAACTCCATGAAATGCCTCACTGGACCTTTTGCTGGACACCAGTCCTCCAGGTGCTTCTCCAAGAATACATGCTCCTGGAATCCCACCTTCTCTTCATCCAGACCTGGCAAGGGACAAGAAAATAATTATTCTCCTTCCTGTAGAAATTTATAATCTTTTAACATTTAAATCCTACCAAATTCATTGTCTATTGGAAAAGGCCAGAGTTTTCCTTGGTAGGTGAGAAGGATGAGCTCCTCAAAGGCATTGACAGGTGGATGAGTGATGGCAAGCTGTAATTCCTTCTGGTGCATCTTCTCCCAAATTTCCATTTTGAATGGATCCTCTGGTGCCCTTGCCTGCTTCATGTAATCCAGTGGAAAAATCCCCAGACCAGGAGATCCAAACAGATCAATGGATTGCTGTGAACTACAAACAGATAAACTCAATAATATTCAGAGCTAGTTACCACCATTGAAAAATCTGCATAAATGCACAAGAGATATACATTGCACGTTGACTGGGTCTTCGTGGAAGCCTCTGCTGGATTTCTTCATGCAACATGCCAGAAACACTTGGTCCCCTCTCTTTCCTCTCTTCCACCTCTACAGAAGGAAACTGCTGCTTGTCCAACATCATATCTGGTTCCTTCAATTTATCCAACATGCTCTTCTCAGGCTCAGTGCCTGATTGAATGACTTGTGCTCGCATTTCTCCCGACACACTCATTTTGGTTCTGCTTGGCTCAGCCAACCTTGACAGCTCTTCTGTGACACTGGAACCTTGAGGTCCTTTAGAATGCATAAGCATCATTCGCACTCGCTGTGCTCGACTCTCGTATAGTTGGGAAGTCTGCGATGGCTCATCCATTGGCAACATTCTTTTCTCCTCCTCTGCAGCTTGACGTGCTTCTGCTCTCATGCCAAGGACCATTTGACTGAAAGAAGTTGAAAATAAAAAAAAAGAATTGGCTATAAAAAAAAAAGGAAAATCTGTCACCATCTGGCAACTCTTAAATATGAATAAATGAATAGTTTCTCCCATTCTGTTCAGTCTGAAAACACATCTTCCTTGCCACCCATTGTGAAAAGGCAGCTTGAGAGGAAAGAGATTAGGACAAAAGTTGGTTTCACTGTGTTGCTTGCACATGGTGGCCCAATATGAGGTGAAATAAAAAACATAATGATCAATGTCATATAGCTCCTTCATCTTTCCAGTAGTAACAATGTAAAATCAAGTACTGTAATAGTTATACCTGGGTGCATTTTCAGCTTCATATCATAAACCAGTAAACAAATTTTTTTACAGATTTCATAATTATAGTTAAATGAATAAACTTAGTCATATCTTAGTTTGTTTTCAGAAGAGGATGAAAGGGCTGTTATTAAATTTTTTACCTGTAAAGATGATAATGCTACCAGCATTCATCAAGGTTCAATTAGAATTAGGTCTCTTGAATATCATCTGATAATCACCATTTTTGCACATTACATTTCATATGGTAAGGGAGATATTTTATACTACTGAATGGGCATTGATGCAAAACAGGCATATTGCCTTTTGCCTAATTGTTCAAAAACTGCCTGTATATGAGAAGAGTAGATCTGCACATGCCGAGCCATGTTGACATACTCTCAAGTGGACACAACAAACACTTGCAAGGGAGGGGTTGATCAGTACAGTCAACAGATCTGACCAGACAAATTGCAAGTGCAAGTGCTTGTATCTCCAAATTTGTCTGACTAATTTCAACCAGTTGTTGTAGAAACAAGGACAATGGACAAGAGTGTGCAACACTAAAATTTCATGAACATCCATGCTCTAGTATTAATGATACTGGAGTGTTAAAAGTGGCCCCTTATTTATAGGATCACCATATATTAAAATCCATATTATGGTTAAGAGCAGGGATCATCAATGCTATGCAAAATCACAACTGGCATACCTGAGACTTTGAGGAACAACATTCTCAAGTTGTTGATCCTTGGCTAGATGAAGTGGGCGGAGAATACTTTCTTCTACATCTTTGCCCTTTTCTCCAAAACTTGTTGCTAATTCCTCAGCTGCTTTAGCAATCTTCCTTCCTAGAATGACACAAATACTTCTAATGGTTTTAATGCCAATACATGGCTAATGAACCACAAACTACAGAATACTAATGAAATATGGCCAACAGAGAGATGAAGGGCCTCAGGATTAGAATTTATTCATTCATTTAGTGCTTCTCTTCCATATTTCACAATTTTAAAGATAAAAAAAAAAAAATTTTTCTAAGGTGAATGGTTCAGAGAAGGTGCAACACATTAACTGCAAATAAGCTATCACTTCAAGAGGCTCATGATGTTGGGGGGGCTTTGGTCATTTCACAAACTTTGGCGATCAAACAAAAAACTCAGTCAAAGTGAAATATTTTTTAAAGCAAAAATTCCCACAAGAATCCTTATGCAGTTAAAATAGCCATAAAAGGCAAAGAAAAAGGTGAAAAACTCTCTTTGCAGTCAAAGAATATAATCACTGAAGGTGATGATGTTTGTTGGCACTTATAACATGCTATTGAACATCTCAGCAAATATATTCTTAAACTCAAGAGACACCTTTTAATGTTTCCAAAGGCCTTATGAGCTGTTAAGATTCTTGTGGAAATTAAAATGTTTTAATTGAGTCATTTGTTCACCCAGCTCCGTCAAATGAAAGAAGCAGCCAAATCTTAAACCTTTTGAAAAAAGGTGAGTTTGATGAGATCTTCTCTGAATCATTCAGCTTTAAAAAAATCTGAAACTTGAAAAAGTGCAATTAAATCAAAGCTAAACTTTAAGTTTAAATTGAAAAATTATGTAAAACTTGTTAATTACATCAATGATGGGTCCAGTAAAAGATGTTTGCAACAGCCCAAGTTCATTATAAGCAAAGTTGCATTTACTTATTTACTTATATTTATCCAAATCCCACAATTATTCAAAGTATCAATGATTTTTTCAACAGCAGAAATAGATGAGATGATGAATCCATCTCCAAACCTGACATCTACCTTACTTTACCCTTTCCTATTAAATGAAAGTTGACAATCTGCTTCTTGTGAAGCCCAGCCTTTTCACTTTTCACAATCAATGCTATCTACAAGAATTTCAAATGGCAACGGAACATAAGGATTAAGATCTTATGGTGACTGGGAACCTTTCCTCCCCTCATATTCCAACAATCATGAATTGCACACATGACCCTCCAGGAATGCAAAGTCAGGAAATTAGAAAGTTACAGGTTGCCAATGTTCTCCATGATGGGAATTTCAGTCATAGGGGAACATAATAATGAATAGGAACTTTACCATGTTTTCTATTTGCTTGGTATGACAAAATGTGACCTTATATCTTATGGGCTTTAGGCTTGGACCAGGCATTACCATAACCAATGTCACATTATTACAATGTTTGATGGTACCTGTTGACTAGTGACAAAAATGCCAGTCAAGAATTGACAATGACAGGAGGTACATTAGCATGATAGAAGGAACTGGAGTGTACTGGCATAGAAAAATCATGAGGAGAATCATACTTGCCATTCAGAACTCTATTTTTAAGGCCACTGTCTCAAATTTAACTCTTCATCCATTCTATTCCTCCACTATAATGCTGCCAAAAATAGTATATTGTACTTGGCTATAACTTCGTGTTAATAGGTCCAGGTCAAAGCATTTTATGAAAATAGGAAGTGAAGCCCTAACATACCTATATCTTTCTGCAGCAGGGTTTCAGAGATAGATGCTCCATGTAACCTTTGCCGAGCTTTTCTGCTAAGTGGCAGAGACAATTTTATTGGTTTGTCTCCATCTTGTTTACTTGCTTTATCACTGTGCCCCTGGAAAGTAACCAAGAAATATAAGTTGATCAAAGAACCAGCTGATAAGCTGTCAGTGAAGATCCAATTATCCAGATACTTTCACCATGACTTTGAATTTATTTATTTATTCTGACTTGCAAAGGGAGTGGTCATGCATGACAAAGGATTGTCACAACTTTTATGTTGTGGATGAGTTTATTGAAAGCTAGGTGGTTATAAAATAAACTGATATAGTGACATAATGACAGAGATATGGGAAGCACTTGCAAGTGATGTGTTGAGTCAAATGCCGTGCTCTATAGCAAACAAAGTTGAACACACATGGCATTAGTCAATTATTGCATGATTTTTATTAACACTTCACATCTGAGTGACACACACTGTATGACCAGTGCGACAGTAACTTGCTGCTATTGAGAATTTGTTAAATATTTGAAATCTGACAGTGTCATCTGAAAGGTGGAACTCCAAACTCAAATCCCAAATCCACATCTAAAAACAATCACAAAATGTATGGCCATTTGAGGAAAAATTGCTTTCTAGACATTTTAGTCATAATTTCCTCATGAATTAGGCTGCATAAATGGATTTAAATCCCACAGTACTGAAGGGTTAACCCTTTCCGGTCCATTTTATTTGTAATGCTATGGAGATTGTCGGACTAGGTCCACCAAATGGACTGCAAAGGGTTAAAGAGCATGGCTTCAGACTCTAAGGGTGAAAGGAGGATGTATAAATGGTAGATCAACTTGATTTAAGAGTCATGCATTTCACCAGCCAAAGAATGAAATCCTAAAAGAACATAGTTCACATCATCTCAGGGGTTAGAATATGGAATTAATTGAGTTATATAGCACTTTGGCATCACTTATTGAGCAAGAGTTGAATAGGGCAGTCACGGCAGTGCACTGTTGGGGGAGGACTCCATACCTGCCATAACCAATTTCTCCTACAAATTAGATGATAAAAACTTCACTTCCCAAAACCTGATGTAACCTAAAACTTGTAATATTCCATAGTAACCAATGACTACTCCATCCTCATGCTGATGAAATCCATTTGAAGTGGTGACTGGTTAGGATCCCATTTCACAGGAATTTGTGTCTGTAAATGTTTCCGAAATGGGATCCAAATGAATAAAATCTTTAAGAAGCATTTTATTCATACCATATTGATAGGCCATCATATCCATAGTTTTTTATATATATACATGGTGAGTCAAAAGACACTGGACGACTTTGAACAGCTATAATTCAGCAAGAAAGGCATTAATTTGCAAACAATTTTTTTGCACATGAAAGAGTGTGTTAATTGACAAAACAACATGGAAGCTTGCATGAAATACCAATAAGAAATGGGATGAGCCTGCACATAACGAAAAGCAACATTTTTCAACATAAAAGTGATATTTAAGGTACAATGGATGCCGTATTCGTGATTATTTTGTTAATTTCTGTTTCTCCAAATGATTTTTCTGATAATGCGGATGAACTTTGAAGGAACATGTCACCATTGGTAATATATTGTCTACCTGTGAAGGAAATCTTTCCAAAGTGAAGCATCGTATTGCTTTGAAGACAGGTGGATAGGCTGGATTGGGCTAATCGAGTGGCCTCCCAGGTCATCAAACCTGACTCCACTCAACTTCTAGCTGTGGAGTTTCATTTAAAGATCAAGTATATCCTGAGAATTGTCGCACGATTATTGACCTGAAGTAACGCATCGCTGAAAAGATTGCTGGAGTTGCCTTTCAGTGATGGTTCGCATGATCAAGCTTAATGGTGCTCAATATCATGGCCAGTCATTTTTATGCCGAATAAATAAATGTTATTTTTATTTTTAATATTGCATATTCGTTAATTAGTGCACACTCTCTCCTATGCAACAAACCGTTTGCAAATCAATGGCTTCCTTGCCAAGTTATTGCTGTTCAAAGTCGTTCAGTGACTTTCAACTCACCCCGTAGATTGCTGAATAGAATATTAACTGCATCAATTGATATTGGGGTTCTGCTATTGCTCCTTCTAATATCAGATACTTTTGCCATTAAACCATATGGGATACTAGTTACAGCCAAGTGACTTGTATGACCATAATCTTTCTGATAATTCCCTTATTGGGATAGCTGATTTGCAAGTGCCACACCTCAAGGAATGGATACATTTTCATAACAAGAATCACAGCAAGAATTTCAGAGAACATTGAATATTAGATGACATTATTGGAGTTCCAGTCAGATATAGACAGGTGTATTAAAATGGCAGACATTGGTTAAGGAGAACAGGTCTAAGGGTCTCCTTGCTAATGCCATAAGTTAATGGAAGTATGAATTTGAGGCATCAAAATGATTGCACAAATAAAGCTGACCTTTTTGTTTTGCATAAGCTTTTGGCTTGGTTTCAATGTATTTTTGTAAATACAACAAAATTACTTATAAAGTTATAAGTATAAATAATACAGTACAAATTTACTGATAATTTATGTCTTCCCTTATAGTATATATTAAATTATACTGCTAATTGGATATAATAATATATTTTCATGCTTTTTTCATGGGCAAAAGTGCCAAGGTTCACCAATGGCACACACTAAAATAAAAAATCCCTTATCAGTTTTATGAATAATAGAAAGGAAGAGGGAGGGAAAGAGGGATGTAATACTCCATGATACCCATATTCAAAAACTGCATTCACTATTACAGTGAAAGGGCATTAGGTAGGGTGCCCAAAAGTCCCAGTTTTGCTGGGATAGTCCCAATTTGAATTTTCCTTTCCATCCAGGTGTCCAGGTTTTTTTCTATTGCAGGGACTAACATTCCAGCATTTTTTTTTTTTTAATGTTCTAGTTTTTCCTGAAAATCTGGTCACCCTGGTACTGGGAGACTTTATTTTACTTTTCCTACGATGCAAGACAAACTTTCCTCTAACAGTAACCAAACGTTAGAATTTGGACCAAGTACAATGAGAAATCGGTCGTTAAGACCAAGGGCTGGGCCATAACGTGCTCAAATTTCGCTGCTTATCCTCCGACGGAACTAAGCCTACCTGAGGGAAAGCTGTAAACGATGACAACCTTCGCGGATTCAATAATTGGCTTGATATTGCTTCTTGGGGTCGAAAGTCTTCATTCTTGGGTTCCTTGGGCTTCTGAGAAGACTCCTGTTCTGACGTAGGCCTTCGCCCATTCGAATCCTGGCTGCAATGTGCGCTCAATACAGAGACTGCATGTTTGTATTTCAGGTAGCTTGAAGAGGTAATGAGCTGTAGTCGAGCTCCCCGATGCAAATACATTATGGTCGTGATGACAGGTCACACAATTTCTGCACTTATCCACTTATACCAAGACACATCCGAGAGTTAAAGCAGTCCTATTTCCAAATGTGGGAGCAGCCATGACAGTCTTCTTGCCCCGTATCACGCCAAAATACCTTGTATACCTACACTGTAAAAAATAATTCCGACTAAGGCATCGAAAACAGGGTTTCCGTCTAATGTGCGGAGAAGGGGACACCGATTCATAGCGGAAACCATGTCTCCTATTTTTTAACGTAAACATGCTGTTCCGAAAAAACCTCGGAATCCATCCCTCCGACTAAAGCGAGTAATGGAGCTTTCCAATCATTTTCCGGAAAATTCCAATCCTTCCGTTCGCGGAAGTAAATTTCCGTCTCATTCGGGTTATCCTTAATTGCCTTCATTATTCAAAAACGGCTCCTTTCCATTCGAAACACGGCCTGATAAATTACGCAACCTCCCCTTATTAATCCGTGAATATTTGGTGCATCCCGATCAAGGAGAAGCTGTAAGATCCATTCACAAACACGATTATAAATATAAATACCTCCTTTGAATCACTTTCGGAAAAGATCGCGACCCAATCTCGCCTCTTTCTCTTCTCAAAGAGAGAGTGTTAGAGGAGAACAACCGAGTCCTTCATCTTTTAAACTTTGGTCCAAGAAGTACGGGCCGCCGGCAGCAAGGAAATGTAAATGATGTCGGTGAAGCAGGACGTCCATCGTTTCAGAGCAGTTCCTCTCCCAACGGGAAGAAGAAGCTGTCATGCTTTTCATTTCCCCTTTATCCGATAGGGAAATACACATGAAAATGCCTTTCTTGAGAATGAAAACTGTGCGTTTTCCGAAGCATCACGATGTCATAATTAATGGGATATCGGAGGCTACTGGGAGTCGTCTACCAATCGGAATGCAAACTAAAGTTGTCGGGTGACTTCCCTAAGGTGTCGATACGGAAAGGTCGGAACGATCGGGAAGGTTGTTCCGAGAATATTCGAAACGGACTTTTCCGACATGAATGAGGAAAAAGGATCGCTCGCTTGAACTTCGGAATACGAATGTAGGTCCCTTAGTCGTGATATTTTGTGGAAAAGAAGCGAAAAATTCCGAAAATATAACTAAAGTCGGATTTCCGAGGATATACAGGAAAAATGTTCCGTCCATTAGAGGGAATGCAAGTTTATGTGCTCTTAGTCGGAAATTTTTACGATGGAGACTCGGAAATTTCCTACATTTTTTTTTACAGTGTAGTTTTCAGGGCAAATTTGGAAAAAAAAAGAGTGAAAAACCATTAAAGGCGACAGCGGGCTGTAGAGTAGGTGGTTAAAGGTCAGAGAGGGAATTCTTAAAGGACTCTAGGCTGTTGTTGGAATGTTTATCAATGCGAAGTCATGTGCTCTGATTATTTTATTTCTGCTTAAAACTTTAAAGGTCTTCATGCACTGCCCTGGGTAATACCTTACTGCAGAAATCCCTTGTTTTAAATGCAGGTATCCTTCCACCCGTTCTCCCATAATCTGAGTCTCGATGCTGGTGTGAACACGTTCAGTTCCACTCACTGACATTCGGCGACGCTCTCTGGCATTCTGGCATTTCGCTGGCCCGAATAAGTCCAAGTTCATACTCGAACTGTACAGCATGCTGGATGTTCAAAATGCATACTTTGGTCAAAAATTCAATGTCCACGTCTACTGGATTTTTGAGCATAGTATGCAGTTGCACCATCCAGCATGCCGTACAGCATGAGTATGAACTCGGCCTAGGCCTGCTTCAAACCTTTCTACGCTGACGTCGCGATTCTGGACTGCGCGCAGTGGCGTAGGCAGAAAATCGGCAAGGGGGGGATTGAGACCAAGTAGACACCCCAACCCTACGCTTAGTTCCACCACCCAGAATTTACCTTTTTGTAGAAATCGTGGTCTGGCATCTTGGGTCTGTGGATGGACATTGGACTTTCCTCGGAAGGGGGATAGCTAAAACTGGAATTCCCAAGGAAGGCTGAAATATGCCTGTCTGTAACTGACCAGGAAGCCCAAGGTTGGGGGGGGGGTTCTGACCCCCTAACCCCCCCCTTCCCTACGCCGCTGACTGCGCGCGTTTGTCTTATAACGTGAATGCTCAGTTGTTGCTCCTTTTTTGGATTTCGTTGTTAGAGTAGTCAGTACCCAGCAAACACGGGTATGTTAGTGCAACGTTGTACTGTAAAGGTGTCATTAGGGTGTTTCAATGTTCGAGTGTTCTTCCATGACAATGAACGGGGAACGTTCCCACAACGCTACTATGTTTGCTTAGCAGCATCTTCAAAGACGTTCAACCTGGAATCTGGAGCCGGAACCAGAGGTTATGGAACGTGCAATGTTCACGGATGTGCAGCTCTTTGACGTTGGATTAAGGTGCCGTTTGATCTCGAATATTCTATTCTTCACGACGTTTCTGAAGGACATTAAATGAACCTTAAAGAGACGATTCTTTTATGCACATCTGTGCTTCTTGATCGGGACAGCGGGCCTTCAAGCTGGCAGTGGCTCATGCAAGTTCGCGACAGAAAGCGAATCAAAACTTGAAACAGCGGCAATTATTCCCCAATACTTCCCATGAGCTACCCAATCTTTCCTCACAGACACCACGGGGGGAAGACATTTAAATTCTTCAATGAATTCGTCGAAAGAGGTAACCCAGTCCAAGGAGTCTCCAGGAAACGTAACAGTGCCTGTCAATATTTTTAGCAGTCAAGAGTAGTTAAATTCAAATGCGGTGAAATTGTCAAGGCCTTGGAGCCACTTCAGAGCGGGATCATTCCCAAGGGCACAATGGCAGTGCCTTAAATGTAACGTTAACTGAACATTCAATGATCGTTTCGGTGCTGCTTGGGTAAGTTTAATTTGATTTTATAAATGAGCGTATGAATGGCGTTCATCCAACACTCTTGGGTTTAACGTTGCTTTGAGCGCTACGAAGGGACATTTCAACGATGTGCTAACGTTCGTTACAATGCTGGAACAGCGTTAGAAGTATTAGGAGTGAACGGTGCATTAGAATTTCTCCAACGCTCTTTTGTTTGCTGGGTCAGATTAGAGTCTGAGCCATGATCAGAGCGGAACCTTAGTCAGACCACAGTCGCCCGACTGGAAAACTTTGATCGCACTGGAGTTCTACTGACTGGAGTAAATTTAGTTAGCAAATATTAATTTAGTCGTCGTCTTAGTTTCATCGACAAATATCGCCAGCCATTATCTCGAGTTTTCGTCACTTGATCAAACATGAATATTCGTCATCCGTCACAAGTTGTCCACTTTAGTCAATTTTCGTAATTTCCTTATTGCCTAAAATTTTCGCCTCATCGTCGATGTCGTCGGCGAAAATAAAAAACTCTTCAACGACGAAAATGTTTCTAAAAAGTGGCCTCTACCCAGCAAACATACTAACATTCAATCAGCGTTGTATGAACGTTAATTTTGAACCTTCCCAGTGTTTGGTTGGCGTTGCAGCTAACATTAAGTCACTATTGCAATGTCGCTTATTGGAACACTCAGATGAAAGTTGAAGTTCAACACTGGCTGAACGTTGAGCCAACACTGCAATGTCACTTATTTGAACCCTCACTCCCACCCTTGTAGCATTCCATAATTGGTCAATTATGAAAGCAATGGATTAAATATTATTCTGAAAGCACTAATATTGGTACTTTACAGGGAACAGCTATTCCCTTTCTGCTCTGTGGAGTACAGAAATCCTACTTTCCTTCACTGAGAGTGGGAAAATTATTCTCCCTCCCAAGCGCGAAGAATAGAGCTAATATGTGATCGAGTTTGTAGAAACTCTTTCTGATGTAATAGTGCACAGCGATGCAAGGGAGTCTCATAAGGAGTATGAGCTTATTTACTGCCTGGGCTCCATGTTTCTGTCTCGAATATATGGATAATAAATTAATAAGTGTCCGATTTTATTGATTGTTATAATGAGGCAATGAAAAACATATGATGAGGTAATAAACACTCTTGTGAGGGATGATTCCCTGGAAAGAGGAAGTAACACTGGATAGGTTCTTTGTCGTTTTGCGGGAAATTTTTTTTTTCCCTATTTGACGATGTATATTCCATGAATCTACCATAAATATTATCTAAAAATGCGATTTAAAAAGGTATCATAATGCCATAACACTGCAACAATATTCACGCAACGTTGGTCTTTGACCTTCAACGTCGATGACACTGTATTGACCCTGGGGGAACGTTCCCACAACGTTACCATGTTTGCTGGGTACTGACCGGCACGTACTACAAGTGAACTGTGTCGATTGCCGTGAAATGTTGAATCACTGTTCAGAAGAAGCTCTGATATGGAATGTGTCTGTACTTGCTGGGGAATGTACAACCAATCTTGAACTTTGATCTTAAACTGAGTGTTCCAATTAGCGACATTACAATGTTGGCCCAACGTTCAGTCACTGTTGAACTTCAACGTTCATCTGAGTATTGCGATAAATATTTAAATGTCATAAATTAAATTGGTCCGCCGGCCCATATAGCTTGGACTAAAATACGGTACGATGAAGGTTTAAAGGTCAGAGAAACGGGCTTTAACCGAGACAGACGCAAAGG